TGACGTGTCCATTCATTACAAGTCGTATCTTTGTCCTTGCTGGACCTCACATTTCTCGCTGAAACATCATTTTCCAGAGAACACAGAAGAAACAGCTTTTACCATACTTATGCTCAAAAAAAACGAACCCATGGCATGCTGAACATATGGCGCGTCTCGAGAGCTGTAGCTTTGATTTTTTGCCGTTATATAAATCTTCCAGTGATACCCTAAGTGTATGGATCATATCCTGGCCACGCATTTTTCGCCGTCGTCCACCACTGCCACCGCCGAAAAATGAGGCAAACGGATGTCCCCCGCCCAATCCACCGAATAATGTTGAGATGAGATCGTCCGCACCCGAAAATCCACCTGAAAAAATAGAAATAAACTGTGCTCGGAGGTGTTTTTGCCGGCGAAATTAACTGCAGGACCGAAGACTTACCACCTCCACCTTCTTTGATACCGTCAAGACCTCGAGCATCGTAGATGTGCCTCCGTTCCGGATTACTCAGTACCTCGTAAGCGAACGAGATTTCCTTGAATTTATCGCCATGCGCTGGATTCTTGTCCGGATGATACTCCTTGGCCAGATGACGATATGACTAAAATTCATAAGTTTCTCTGATTCATAAGTTTCTTGAAAAAATTCATAAATTTTTTTTTGATTTCCATAGCTAAAAAATTCATAACTTGACGATTTTAAAAGTTTCATTAATTCATAACTTATAATACCCCTTCACAAAAAATCTTTTTTTTCAAAAAAAAATTCTTTTTTCTGTTCTCCTCTTTTATCATTTCCTGCTGTTTTTCCTCCCCTCTATAACCCCTCGTAATCCTGAGCGGTCAAAAACATTCTCATCATATAAAAGGTGCGTAGGAAGCTGTACTGATTGAGCCCCACTCTTACTGCCTGTAAGCACTCTGCGCTCTGTCTGTGTTTACAGCTAAGGGATGAAATACTGACTGCTCTCCAATCGTCATACACATATTTTTCAATCGATCTAATTTTGGTCGTGATATTTCCAGACTGCGCAATAATGGATCAACAGTTTGCCGGCCCGCACTCCCAAAAATTCACTGATGATTCCCACTCCATTTCGCACCGATTCTGCCGTCTGTGTTTACAGCTAAGGGATGAAACACTGGCTGTTCTCCAGTTGTCACACACATGATATTTTTCAATCGATCCCCTAATTCTGGTCGTGATATTTCCAGAATTCTGCCGGCTCACAAACCCAAAAATTCACTGATGATTCCCACTCCATTTCGCACCGATTCTGCCATCTGTGTTTACAGCTAAGGGATGAAACATGGGTCAGGCTACCAAGTCACTGTGTACATACAGGCTTGCTTATTTGGGAGATCTGAATGGCACTACTTCCACTGTGTTTTCATTAATTATCAAAATTCGACTGTGTTCCTCTCCACGGTGGTGGGCCAGCAACGCCAAACAAACTGCATATTTTAACACAGAGACGATTTCAGAGCCCCGTCCTCTTCCAGTCTCCTAGCCAGGGATATTCATTGTTTGTTCCTCTTCCAATCTGCTAGCCAGAGATATTCATTGTTTGTATCTCTAAAATTTCTACAACACATATTTACGGTCACCGGTATCACCACTCAAAATGTAGATACTGTCTCCTGGGATGAACCGATTATCGATTTTTTTTTCCACATTTCCTGTTCAAATCCAGTTGCCAACTCATTCGCTCACACGCTGGGGAAAAATCGATCCCGCTGTCGCTGCCCCAAACATCCAAATTCGTGCTGCTCTGACCTTTGATCGGCCGAAAATCGTTTTAAAAAACCCTTCCCACGAAAAATAGTTGAAATACATTTAAATAATGACGATAGGAGGAAATATAAGGTCAATGAGAACGAAGTTTACGATCTTATGTCCGAGCAGTCTGCGTTTCATCCCTAAGCTGTAAATAGCGAGCACGTTTATATAGGTGTTCCTCTGACTTTCGGTCGGCCGAAAATCGTTTTAAAAATCCCCCCCATGAAAAATTGTTGGAACACGCCGAATTAGTAGCGATAGGAGGAAATATAAGGTCAACGAGAACGAAG